AAAACATGTAGCTTATGATATAAAATTCGTCAGAAGAATTAAAGGAGTAACTAATAAAGAGTAAGGAATTAAGTAATTGGAGAAAAGTTAAATTGCAGTTTGTTCATGGGCGTACCCAGCTTCTGCCCTAGAGGGGGGCAAATCAGATTTTTTTAGGTCAGATCATCCGCGGCTGTTTTGTCATACACACTACACAAAGGCACCTACATGATACATTAGGTATATGTAGGGCAAACAGCCGCAAATGATCCTGCTTTATAGGTAGTTAAGAATGTTTGGGAGGTATGTCAAAAAGCTACGAAACAAATAAAAATTTGGAAGAACGTTCCTCATTCAATTCTAAAACTCCTGTGAAAATTGCAAATCGATTCACTAAACCGTTAAAAAGTTATTGAAATTTTAAAAAATTGTAATTTTACACGTCATTTTATGGAGATTCGTTAACCGAACAGATTAAATTTATTTTTATTAACAGAAAAAAAGTTACCAGAAATTTAAAAATTTTATAATCAAGATTGGCTTTATACTAGTAAGACCAAAACCAAGACCAAAACTAAGACTGAATGAACAAGACCAAGACTAAAACAACGACCAAATATGTAAGACCAAGACCAAATACGCAAGACAAAACGAAAAATTATTACTTTAAGTGGATTTATGAGTTAAACTATTTAAAGCAACTTTAATATATTCCTATATCATNTTCTCTCAAACCGTGTACTTTTTTTTAGTATAGATAGTATTTATTAACCTCATGATATGCTACAAAACCTAATTAATCACGAATTTCTAATTTTATGTACTCTTGTCTCCTATTGTACCTCCCAAACATCCTTAAATAAATAAAAGTAAATACGACTATGCATTTTTATTTTATTTTAATTATTTAATTCGACTTCTACTATTTTATTCAAAAATGAGTATATAAGGCCCCGTTTTAACTTTGATTAGTGATTAGGCGAGTTTATACATTTTCTGCGAGGTATCCAGGGGGGGGGGGCAGCTACCCTCCCCTGGGTACGCCCATGAGTTTGTTGCTTGGTGATTTGGGAACCTGTACGTAATGTGTTACCTATAACAAACAGTTCGATCCAAAGGTGAAAAAAAGTTCAAATGCATCCCAGCAGCTACCTTTGTTTTTTTTTTCTTCAACGAAAACAGTATATCTATAGAAACGAAGACAAAAATTCATGTGTTATTATGAAGTAACTAGAAAAAAGTAAAGAATTAATTAAATGGAGAATCTGCGGTTTGTGTATAATAGCAAACATTTCAAGCTATTCGATGCAGAAAATGAGTAAAGAGAACATTCAAGACTGGGGATGACACAGTAAAAGAAACGTTGAAGAAAAAAAGAGAATTCGTTAAACATTTACTGTTGAAGTTTCGGAAAAATAACCACAGGTAATTTTACTTTATTGAACGTGAACAATATGTAAAAAAAAGATCGGAACAAACGATAATCGAAATGTTACATTTGCTTTCTTCATTTCTGTGATCAGTGAACATGTAGAGTATTATTACTGTGATCATCAATTGTTTGTATGATAGATTAAAACCCTGATGTCAACATCATAAAAAAGAAATTGGGTTACGTCCCTCGAAGGAAAAGTAGAAAAGTCAAAGATGAATACAGAACTGGAGCACATCATCGCGTCAAAACGTGTGAAACAAAATTGACATGACGTGACCTTATTTTAAGAAGCAAACAAATGGAAAGTAAAGATGTGTATCACATTCTCCCATGACTACTCCTTTTCGTTACTTTCTGTTCTATAAAAATAACTTATCCCGATTTATGTATGCCCCTGGTACTGTTTTCGAGTTTCTTCTTAAATAAATATTTTCAGATACAGTAAAATAAATCACACTGTAAAGAAAAAGTTCAAAGACTCAAAATATTCACTGATGGGTCAGACAATTTACTGTATTCGAACTGATTACATGGTGGAATTCTTTTCCTCTAAAATAACTGTAAACCAAATTAAGATAAAAGAGATACAAGAAAAGCTGTATTTTGCATTTAATTAAAGCTAATTTAACATTTATCTACTGAGCACCACCAGATAGATTTAAAATTACTGTATTACATAATATTGCACTGGTGGCGGCTCAAGAAGCAAATATAACGTAAGTTTCTGATTGAAGAAAAGCAACATGGTTTCATGAATAACATCTTTCTCAAATAAAACAAATCTTGCTTTTCAGTCTATTATGTTGTAGTCTTGAAGGTCTCGTAATAAATTAATGTATTTCGCAGTGCATGATCTTAAAAAGGCACAATGCATTGTGATCGACATTTATTTTTCGCATATTGTTTTGATTTTTATCTACTAAACAAAGCAAATACAAAGTGAATTTTGATGGAGGCTTTAAGCATCTTAACTACTTAATTATGAGATTAGCTTTTTAATGTGATATTAATGTTACCTACAGGAAAAACTAGATAGTTTTCTATAAAGAGCAACAGGCAGTTATAGAGTTGGGGCTGCAATGTAGAGAAGTAATCATCAGGAAGGAAGTCGAAGACGCGATCAACATCATTAAAACAGTACAAATGTAGAAATATATATACAGGGGCAAAAGATTAGTATGCTTAGATTTGAGGACGATATACCTAGTAGTATTAGCATCTAACAAGAAGGAGTTTAAGATAGCTTTAAATAAAATGGATGCGGTATTGACAAAACAGTACTGTATGAAAATAAACAAACGTAAAACAAAAATACTTGTATGCAAGGGAAGAAAAAGTAGGGAAAAAGCGAATATAAAGATAGGAGATGAAAAATTAAAAGAAGTGGCTGATTTTAGATATCTAGGAAGTCAGATAAGTTAGAACGCAAGGAGTAGTACGGATATAAAGCAAAGGATCCCGCAGGGTCGAGTAGCCCTCAATAAAAGAAGTCATTTCAATGTTCGCGAAAGGTTAATTTATAAATTCGGAAAAGGTTGTTTAAGGTATATGTTTAGAGCGCGGCGCTGTACGGGTACTCTGGAGGAAAAAAAAGGTTAAAAACGTTCGAAATGTGGTATACAGGCGAATGATGAGTATACCGTGGATAGAGAAAGTTAGAAATGAAAAGGTATTAGAAAGAGTAGGAGAACAGAGGACTCTATGGAAGTCAATAAGGAATAAGCGAGATAGGTTGGTAGGACACCTTCTCAGACAAGAAGGTCTAGTCAAAGACATATTAGAGGCAGAAAAGGGAGTTAGGAGGGGTGGAGATAGACCTAGATTAGATCATTGTTCGCAAATAGTTAAGGATGTAGGTTGTTCTAGTTTTAGGGAAATGCGAAGTTTAGCTCAGGGTAGGAAAGAGTGGAGGTGCGTGTCCAACCAGTCTTAGGACTGACGACCTGATGACAGGAAAAACCTTTAATGTAGTAAGAAGTTTAAAAAACTTTACTTTACTTTACCTTTAACTTTTCTGTACCGAGTATTTAACTGGCCCAGACGAGAAATGAAACCGCATAATTTATTGAAATAATGTTATAAACAGCTAAAATTGTATTAACTGGTAATAAATAGAGTTGGGTTGAATGTTTTATTAATTCCGTTTTCAATAACTAGACTACTGTAATATTTTTACACAACGCGATATATGATAGATATGATAGCTTCCATGCGAGTAATTTAATTTTTATGAGCATGTAACTGATTACAAAATACTGGTCTATAAAAAAACGAAAGGAAGACACATAAGAATTCGCAATGGAAAAGAGAAATGCTAATTGCAATGAATTATAGGTCTCACTTCAGTTTCCATTAGCTATTGAAATGTGGATACCCTAAAAATTTACATTTAACAACAGAGCATCTCAATTTTAATTTTTCCTGGAAATTATTTTGACACTAACAATATTATTTTAATCATTTATATGGATTATATCTAATGAAAATTAAAATCGTCACGCAATGGGTCTGACCATTCTTTGAGATCGACGCGACGGTCGAAGGTTGGAAAGGACTCATAGTAGGTGTCAAGTAAATTTTCGATTATTGAATAATGTCGATGCGTTGTGACGTCTAATAACGCTGCGATCTGGGTTAGCTTAAGTTTTGTACTCGAATGACGGCCTCCTAAATTGTAACCCTAAATCGCATTGCTTTACACTTTATCGATTGCCTTTCGCCATAAATGAATCGCCTAATTATCGAGCGAACTATTTAGAGATTTATTACCAATGCCCAAGGAACGTTAAAGAAATTCCGACTTTATGTATTAAAAATGCAGAATTTACGCAAAAAGCGATTTACTAATGAATAACAAATGTGCGGATCATTATTTTGCGTATAAACATCTGAAAAATAATTTTCTGGTATTGAATTTGATTCTAACAAAATTTTATAAAATGTTTCACTGATGCCAGTTTGGAGATGCTTTCGGGTTATAATCATGGTAACTCTTTTATCCGAAAAAGTCGTTCCTTCTTATGGTCAGTTTCATCCTTTTGATATTTTGAGCAACAGCATAGTTATGGACGACCGAAGGTCTTTTGTATAAAACCCTTGTTCTTTTACCGTTACCATTTGTGAGAAAATTATCCGCAGCTAGAAATTTCAATTGTTTGTATTTGTCTGATTTACCCATTAATCACAAACGGTGATACTAGATACACCTAGGATCAATTGAAACAGCAAGGATCGCCTTTTTTGAACTATTTAGAATTCTTGCGTATTAGGTGAGGTCTAACAATTTTCGTATTGGTATCTATTGATTAAAGATTTTGTCTTTGACATTACCTGCCCTAGATAGTAATGAGTATAATTCAAACAAATTAGGGCTTCCTCGACCTACAGCAGCCTCAGCTTTTAAATGGTATATATATATGACATCGGTTATTCAATTTAATTATCTAACAGAACTTTTGTGCTTATAATGGAATTATCATTAAAGGACAATTTTGAGTACCTACAGTCCACTACTTTGTTTGCCTTACAAGTTTTTATTTATACCATCATATACTAAAAAAATTGACGAATACAATAGTGTGTTTACCCTATGATCTTTTGGCCTTGTCTCTTGTCTCCTAGGTGGTCCATTTTCTGTATCGGCATATATTAGGTTTCTTACGTGCCCCACGAATCTTGGTTCGAAGATAACGCTAGGTAGTGCAAGCAATGTTAGTTTGTTGTTGTACCACATGGGCATACCACCAACGAATACGTCGGAGTTTGTAGAGAATCTACCAAAATCAAACTCCTTGCCCCTGGAAGTTCTCATATGGGACGTTCCGTCAACGGTCAAAACGGTACGTTCGGCCTGCCTTTGCAGATGCACCTTGTGCCAATGGCCATCGTTCAAATTACTACCGACGGTGAGAATTTGGGCACCACCACCAAGATTGAAACGCAGCTGCAGGGCTCCCTCGAACAACTTGATTACGAAAAAATCGTAAGTTCCTCCATCGTCCGTATACAACAGAAGACCGTTGAGTTGTTCCGTCTTAAATTCGAATTCCAAGGAACCATTATATCCGCCGCCCCATTTACGAAATTGCGCGAACGATTTTGTTGTGCCGTCCAAAAGAAAACCCCAACAAACGCTTAACCAAAATATGAAGCTCAAGTGAAATAGTCGCTGCATTTTCGATTCGCTACACAATTATTAATGTTACACCAACAGGCATGTTCTAGATCACGGAAATGCACTTGTTCCACGACCGCATAATTTCACTCCGACTTGCTAACGCTAGAAATTCGTAAGCCGATATTAAAGGATTAGAAGAAATCCATACGCGTGCGACACGAGACTGGTTGACGATTACATCACCGGAAACGCATTTGAATCAGTCAAAAGGGTATCATGAGCAACTGCAATTATCTAACACTTATGAAGCTGTACGAATAAGCTGAACTTTATAAAGTAACATTAATAAATGATACGTCTAATGAGCTAGTGAATCGACGTAACATGGGGGTTTGCGCCACTATGCCGTCGACCTCGTCCCGGAGTTTGGGAAATGCGCGTGAGTGAAGCGTCGCGACGCGACCATGTCGCGCACGCGCGGACATATGCGGTCTGCCAGACGACTCGACGCGCGTTGAAATGTGGTCAACGGGTTAATATGTATATGTATATGTGTGTGTACATCGAGTACAGAGACGCGTTTACGAAAGTGGTTTTTGGAGAAAATACAGGACGAGACGCCGCTCCACCGTCGAGATAATTGGATTCACTAAATAAATCGTTGTGTAATTTTTGAGTTGAACGGCTAAGACTAAACAATAAATAACATGAGCCAGACGGTGCTTTCAATTCGCCATGAAAGTCGCTTGACCAAAACGACAAAACTATGATTTAATAACACCAAACATAAATTTAGCCGAGGTAACAGCGTGGAACCGTTTAAGGATGTTTGGGAGGTATGTCAAAATGCTACGAGACAAATAAAAATTTGGAAGAATGTTCCTCATTCGATTCTAAAACTCCTGTAAGAATTACAAATTGATTCACTAAACCGTTAAAAAGTTATTGAAATTTTAAAAAATTGTTATTTTACATGTCATTTTACGGAGATTCGTTAACCGAACAGATTAAATTTATTTTTATTAACAGAAAAAAAGCTACCAGAAATTTCAAACTTTTATAATAAGTAACCTGAACTCTGGAGAACCCCTTTAAAGTAAAAGGTTATTCAAATTCACTAAATGGTTATCGAGGAAAAAATGAAAAATTAGCTGAAAATCTCGTTTTTACTTGATAATATAATAATAATATTTATAATTGTCTGAAATAAATGCAATTTTAAAGTTTTAATTATTATTTAAACATATTAAAAGGCTTTACGCTCATATTAATAAGTAGAGATTGAAACTAAATATTTTTTTGTTGTTGTTGTTGAAATCAAGCCATTTTCACTGCCAAAAGTCAGTTAAAAATGTTCCATATTATTCGTTATTTCTTATTTTATTCAAAGTTTTTGGTCAAATTCCAAATTTTCTCTCAAACCGTATACTTTTTTTTAGTATAGATAGTATTTATTTACCTCATGATATGCTGCAAAAACTAATTAATCACAAATTTCTAATTTTATGTACTGTTGTCTCCTATTGTACTTCCCAAACATCCTTAAGGAAAACTCAGTAGACGTGCTTCGCTAAACTTCCAAAAACGGCCACTGCGTTAATATAGGCAAAACTAGATAAAACAAAACTAATATGATAATATTAAAATTTTAAATATATATCACCGAACTATGTGCATAAAAGACACAATTCTTTAAGAATGCAAATCCCACAAGATTACAAGAAATCGTGCTAATAAACTGCAAGTGTCAGCGTATAAATTTTGATACTGCAAATGTTTCGATTATTTTTCTATGGGGAGTTCTATCCAAAACATGAATACTATAATAAATAACAACTTTTCCTTTACATTCGTCTTTCTGTTTCACCTGATAATTGAGTCAGTGGAATATTTTTTTTTTCTGTTTCGTTTTCGACTATATATTTACATCACCTTCATGCCTCTAATAAATCCAATTAAATTTTTGGAGAGCAAAATGATGGTCATAACATTTCAACTATAAAATTTATTATATTATTTCAGTGTTTTACTGTTAATTTGGTTTTCTTATATTCACTAAATCGATAACGGGCTATTTTCTTGTGGTCCCTTTTAGTTGTTATGATTAGTAGGCTTAAAGCCGCCAAGTCACCGCTAAGAAGATGATGTCGTTAACAAAGAACGACGAAATTCTTGGAAAAGCAAAATCCATGTACCTATCTGAGGCTAATTTTTAGTTCTAATTAATTAATTGTTTGTGCATTTTAACAACAAAGATCTACTATTAAAACAAAAAAAAGAAGGAAACACATTTTCTAATCAACAAAATATATTTTGCTAACACTTTCTAAATTGCCTCGTCAAAGTACTGAATTCTTTTCGATTTAATAATATAATCAAAGAGAAAACAAATACTCATAATTTTCAAATAAGGGCTACTAGAATGAACCATTTCTTTTTTCTTTATAAGGTTATGCAACCCCTGAAAGTTAGGTTGTGGTTATTTTAGGTTTACTTATGCAACTTTACGCTTAGATATGAAAGGGCATATTCCTAAAAATCCTTTTATGAATTATTGGAGTGTGGCTGCCCAGAAATAGTTTAAATTATTATTGATGCGGTGTTTTCATCCGGGCTTTTTGGCCGTGGTCCGTGGAATTTTACTTTTCCAAACGTTTCACCGTTCATTGCTGACGGCATCTTGAGGTGTAACTGCTGAGTCGCAGTTGATTTCAGTTATCATTTGCGACTCGACAAATTATCGATGTTATAAAATCTATTACTGTATTGTTGTTTATTATCTGCCTTTCTGTGTACAATAGGAAATACTGATCAAAATGAGTTGATGTGACGTAATCAGATGCACAAATACGACGTACGTTTGTTTTACCTACAAGTTGAAACGGTTTCCATTAGTCACATCATGCATTCCACATTACAAATTATTATTAACGATTCTAATCGAAACGAATTTGAGAGTCACAGTGAAAATGACCAATCCACACGATATAACACAGTAGCTAGAAAATTTATTGACACTGAACAATAAAATCAATTGATGCGTACCAGAGTAGATTGACATGAAAAATTGGATTACATTTCAAAATCGAAATGCGGAACCTAAATCTTTTACGTAAACAAACAATTAAGCACTGTAACCCAAAATTCTACATCAAACGTCTAAAAAGCTCAGTTATACTGTTTCATTAGATTGAATTCCACAGAATTCCATTTGATCTTGTCATCAAGAAAGTAGAAAATATAAACGAATATGTAGTCTTTAAAATTTTGTTATGGTACTTGCGATTCTAATATAGGTACACAAACTGTAAGTAGTATCATTAGGCTAGCCTTTTTTCGCCCTATAATTCTTTTACGTTCCTTGTATGTATGCATATTTGTTTTTGACACATTATTTAAATGTAATGTGTCAAAATGTTTTAAAGATGGAAGAATATTAAAAACATAAATATGTTTTCATAATGGCCAGACACATGGATAATTAAATGCTAATTAAATGCCCTAATGAAAAATTAAATGTTTCTGGTAGATTTTCTAAAGTTACTGTTCTATTAGCTTAAAAGTGCGTTAGTAGAATATAAGCGAAGAAATAATTTGAGAAATTAATATACATAGCTTTTATGATCACAAGTAACTAAGTACTTATTAAATGCCTTCGGAGCAGGCCACTTACGAATTAAATGCTTTTATTATCTTTCATAAAATTAAGGGCTCCCGACTGGGACAATGCCTTAATATCAAAGTCGACTAAAGATTGGTTTAAACAAATAAGTCTACGGTTTTAGGCATATACTAATTAATGGCTAATTAAATGCCCTAATGATAAATTAAATGCTTCTGACAGTTTCACTGTTCTACCAGTTCAAGAGTACGTTAGTAGAACATGAGTGAAAAAAATCTTTATACAAGGAATGTAGATTTTAACACAAGTAATTAAATGATTATTAAATGCCTTCGGAACAGGCCACTTACGAATTAAATGCTTTCATTATTTTTTCAGAAAACAAAGGACTCGAGTCTGGGATAATACCTTGACATAAAAGGGGAGCTAAAGATAGGTTTAAACAAATAAAGCTACAGTCTCAGGCATATACTAATTAAAAGCAAATTAAGTGTCCTTAATTAAATTCTTCCGGTAGTTTTTCAAAAACTACTAACTGTCCTGCTAGCATGAAATTAAGTTGGCAGAGGAATAGGACAACCAACATGTTTTTAATGAGTCTGTAACTAGTATATGTGATTTTTTCTTGTTCTTTTAAGAAAAATAATAAGAGCATACAACAAAACAGCCATTTTCATTGTTTTCAAAACTTTTTCGATCATTTTCTGTTCACTTAACCTTAAACAAGCAATAATTCAAAAAAACTGCTCAGAGCGTTCAATTTCTCATTACTTAACATTGATGAAATACCTAAGTGTAAAATCGAAATAATTGCCTTTTTTATGCTATTAAAACACAAACGTCCCCTGAAAATCTCTATCTCTCTATCAGTCTTTATTGGTTAATTTACGAAACGAGTGAAGCGATTTCGATGCAATTGTGAGTCAAAGATAAAAAGCGTTTTGTCAGGAATAATCTAGACTAAACTGAAATTATTTGGTGTTGTATTAACGATAGAATTAGCATATACGGAAAATTATTCATGCGGACGAAAGCGCAAAGTTATTAAAACTAAAGGTAAACGAAATACTCATATTAATATTCAAAGGTCGCTCAAAACATAAACTGAATGGTACAAAAAGTATATGTACGACTATTTTAAGATGATAATAGGAGTGAATCCATTGCTTTTAATATAATAGCAACAAATGGTGCGTGTATTTAAACAAAGAAGATGCTTTTTTTGCAGTTTTAGCTTTGTAAAATTTTTGAAAAAAGTATTAAAGCTAATAAATATAAAAATTTTTATATTAAATTGAAAAGAAAAATGTTGATGTAAGCCACTATAATATACATATTTCAAACCCGAAAGAGTTTTGCTACAACATTTAAAGAATAGAAAATCAATTTTGGTAACAAAAATTGTTGGGCAGTACCATCTGTGCCTACCAACATTCATTAATAAGTGGAAGAGCAATGTCAGTAGAATCAAAAACACCTGAATAGTTAAATGCACGTTAAATGCTAACAAAGCGTCCTAATGAGAAATTAAATGTTTCGGGAAGTTATTCTAAAAAAAATCTTTAAACAATGAATATTACTTTTTTGATAAAAAGTAATTGAATGCTCATTAAATCTCTTCGGGGTAGGTCAATTAGGAAGTTATTATTACTTCAATTGAGCCTACAAGTTTATTCAGAAAAAAATAATTGGAGACCCTATAGAAAAATTTTCAGCGTCTCTCCAGTCTCTCGGAGTCATTCAGAGTATCTCAGTTATTATTTAGGTGTTTTTAGGGATCTCT